AACATGTCAGAGTACTGTTCAGCTCCACAGTTCAGGATCCACTTTGTCTCCGAGACTGTTTTAGTTCTACTCCTGCAGCCTTTCCTGCTACACGGCTCCTGTAGTCCTTCACATCCATCATCCATCCATCCATCCATCCATCCTCTGCTTCACGTCTCTATCTGACTCCAGACCTGCTGTCCTTCTCCCTCCATCTGTCAATTAGGAAGCCTCCCTTTTCTCAGCGCTGGACACTTTGACTGCGAGGTGTCTCAGCGAGCAGCCATCCTGTCCTCGCTCTCCCCTAATTCCTCCGTTCTGTCACTTCTTGACTCCATCCATCAGCGCACACGCCAGACCCTGCACGACAGTCATCTTAAAATATCACCACTAAAAGTCTACTTCAATTTAATGGATCATAAGGCCGGAGCGTGAATATTTAGTGTGTGTGGCTGCCGCCTGGAGATTTAATCCGGTGCTGCATAATTGATGGAGAGACACTGGAAAACTCACAGATCATTAAATGTGATAGCAGATTTGCCAAACACTTTTCAGAATAGTTTATGCTCAGCGTCCTGTCAGGGCTATATGTTTTTGCAGGGAGACAGCTCCTGAACGCTGCAGACGATGCAGATGATCATGATGCAAACCGCACTTTTAACTTGTTCCTCAAAACATCGTGTCTGACTGGCGCAGGCAGGAGATCCAGCATCAGGCCGCTCAGAGAAAAAGAAAACAGTTCTCCCCAAAAGACTTGAATCATTTCTAATCTTTCAGACTTGCTGCTTTTATTATTCTGCTGCAGTGGAAAAGAAGCCGTGGCTTGTTTTCATTTCCCTAAACCAATCACAGCCGTCGTGGGCGGCGCTGAGCCCGGGATGCAGTGATGGTGTCCCGGTTCTGGTGGAAGATTTGCATGAAAGTGTATTATTAAAATGCTAATTTTCTGAAAGAACTGAGCAGGAATGCTTAATTGCATGAGCCCCAGTCGCCGATTTTAGCACGTAGGAAGGATGTCGTCGTTGTTTTTGGCAGTTAATGGGATTTTGGAAATGTTCAGAAAGATGCATCCAATGTGCAACAGAAATGAAAGACTCACAGCAGAAGTCTACATTCAGTGAATCAGGCCAGATTAAAGACATAAAACATGCACTTTTGTTTGTTTTCTATTTGAATCTATTAAGGACATTAAAAACTACTTTAACCCCCAAAAATCCAGCAGCAGGTTCAAATGCATGTGACTCAAACAGAAAAAAAAAAAAAACCCAAATCGCTCCATTTGTCAGAGCAAGAAACTATAAAACAGCTTTAAATCTTTATATTTAATCCAAAATAATTTTATTCTACACATGTCATTTCACTATTAGCAAACAAATCTTGTAAAAATGAATATATTATTGTTGATTTATTTATTTTTAAATTCTCTTTTTTCTTTAGTGAAACCAGGAAGCCAACAGTCGCTCTGCTGGAACTAAGAATCACATGAGAGGAATCCAAAGACTTTCCATCTGGATTTGAGTTTGGTTTTCTTTTTCCAGTTATTGTTTAATAGGAAATAAAGAAGTACAACTTTCTTTTCCCTTTTCTTTTTCTAACTGTAGCTGTGTCCTGCAGCACAGAAGACGGTTCTGAACTCTCTCTGCTTCCAGTCATGGTTGTTCTGTTTCCACGGAGCTGCAGGACTTCATGCTGCAGAAATGAGGCCACGGTGAGGAAACAGCCGAACGCTGCCGGAGTCCAGAGCCTCACACTCACATTAACAGCTGGATTAAATGCAACGATTTGGGAATAAACCAAAAATCACAGTTAAAGTCATAAAACTGCATCAGATCTTTCTTCTCTGCCAGAATGTTCCTTCAGCCAACACAACCAGCATGTATCTGACAAAGATCCCTTTATTGGAAACGGATGCTTGTAAAACAACAGTTTGTGCAGCTCTGAGTGTTGAGTTAGATCACGATGAGCCTTCAGTAGATGTTAATTAGAGACGTTTTCTTACATCTAACAGTGAACGATGTGTGTGGTCTGGACAGAATGAATCACTGGTGGTTGGACTGATGGTATTAATCCCAAAGGAACTCTGATTTAATTAATGAGCACACAGATAATCATTTAAAACTGTTTGAATAAGAGCACAATGATGTCATCTGAAAGGCATTTTACAAATAACAGTTAAACAATGAAGTCTGTCTGGGTCTGGGTCTGATTCTGATTCGTTGGGATTTGAAGTGAACTTCTGGGTTACTGTCATCAGATTCTAGAACATCTAATCTGCTGGGCTCCGTTGATCATCTGCTTCTCATCATCACATCATCATCATTGTTGGGCTCTAAATCAGTTTTGTTGTTTTTTTGTTTTCTTTCTGTGGCCACAAACATCAAACAGAACCAGTAGAACCGAGAGGCGGTTGTGAAATAATCGTTGCGGTTTCACAGCAAACATCTGCCTGTTAGCAGGAGTTGTCGTGTGTTTGTGTATTCTGGCTTCACACAAAACCTCCTGACACACGTTTCCTCACTGTGTCGTCGCAAAATACAGTCCTGCACCTCTACGGACACGTATATGTATATATATATATAACATTAGTGCCATGCAGTTAGAAGAACAGGAAGATTAAAAGAAAAACGAAAGCTGAATTTTTTCAAATACATATTTTACAAAAACTAAAACAAAAGAGGAAAAATCTGGAAGTACCGTAACTGGACCACTGGAAGGAAAAAACCAGGTCTCCACTTATAGATGCAGTCGATATTTTACTACGACGTATATATTTTATTTTTTCTACACAGCCTGCAGCTCACCTGAACACTCCCTGATTTTTTATAACATGACTGTTGGTTGCAGCTTCATAGTTTTGCCAAAAAGCTCAGAATTTCTGTTTTTTTACAGAATCTGGTTCCTGCAAACTACAGATTTTTGGCACATTTTTACATCTGACATGTAAAATAAAGTGATTTTGACTAAATAGAAGGATAACCGGTTCAAGAACCATCACATATCTGACAGCTGTTGATCTGCAAAAGAAAGGATTCTGGTTTTCTTTTTCCATTTTGTGCAGTGCTTCATTGATTTTTTTTGATTTTCAAAATGAGAGCAACTTGCACAGATCTGGAAAAAGCAGCGACAATCAAAAGCAGAATCAGATGAACCAATAAGAACAGATGTGCAGCCCTGTCGGCCACAGCACTGCTCTGTTTCCTCCTGTTCACCAGATCTAATGAAACGAAGCTAAATGCTTGTTAGCGCTGATGCTACGTTTCCTCACCTGGATCTTGATGGGCCAGCTGAAGTTGGACACGTAGACGTAGAAGGTGATGTTGTGGTGGAGCCGGAAGTTGAACTTCTCACAGGAGAAGCTGTCGCGGTGCTCCTTGATGTTGGTCCTCGCTATGATGGGCATCTCTTCACCGGAGATGGTTCCGGCTGTGACGGACAAACGGGTCCAGTGTTAGTGAACGCAGCTTGTTTTAAATAACCAACATGTTTAGCAGCTGCATTAACAAGAACGTTTCATACGGAGAACATCTTTTAAAATAACCTTTACTTGGTGCTGCATTAAATGTTGAACCTGATCAGGTAAATCTGGAGTCACAGTCGGGACAGAAGGCAGGAGAGCGTTTATGAAGCGTTTCGTTTTCATGTACGTAAGAATCAGAAACACGTTGGAGCTCAGCAGATGTTAGCATCAGAGTGGTTCAGGGGCTTTGTGAGGAGATCTAATGACTCCACACGAGACAGAATCTTGTGTGTGATGCTGATTTTAATTCACATTTTAAATGAAGACCATTCGTAAATTAAAAAAAAAAACTAAATAAAATAAAAAAAATCTGGATTTTAGTTATAATTTAATTAACAGAAATTTGATGTTGGAAATTACAACAAAAATAGAAATTCACATTTTACTTTTAAAACCTTCTGCCTTTAATACAGAAGACGTGGCATAAAAAGAATAAAAGTAGATTTGTTGTGAATATTTACATCACAAACAAAATGGTAACAGCGTCAACAGGCTGCAGTTCATCTGAAAAGTCCTGTACTCTTTGTCATGTTACTGTTTTAGTCGCGGTCGCATTTAGACGCCAAAGCTTATTGTTTTTTTTAGAATTTAGTTCAAGCATGTGGTTGATTTTGAGCAGAAAATCTGAATGTTGAGCTCAGATTTGCTTTTAAACCTGAGCTGCACATCACAGATGAGTCGTTCAAGAACCTTTAGACAGTCGGAAATCTGATGATTATTTCTGCTTTAACAGTTTCCACCCGTGTTAGAGTAGTTTGGGTTTTATTATTTTAACATAAACGTCTAATTCATCCACAAAACATTTGGCTTGCAGCAGTATTTGTATCAGAAGCCTCATTACTGTGTGCACAGGAGCGTCCTCATACCTACATATAGAACATAATGTTGTTATATGTTGTGCTCGGTTCATCTGTGACGTTAACGTGATGCCGTGTGGGTCAGAATTGTGCACCAGTTCTGATCTGGTAAGAGTCCCGCTACAGCTTTTATGGAGAAGTTATGAAGCCGACATGTTCAGATCCGTCCACTGGGGATGGTTTAGGATAGAAACCAGCATCATGGTCCAGGTGAGACTGTACAGGAATGTCAAACGGTCCTTCTCCTGTCACCGTGTGGAAAGCAGCACCAGAACACAAACCAAGATGCTCCGATTCAAACCCCAGCAGCCACAGGAGACCTTCAGCCCCGCCGAGCTGCTTTCAGTCTCAGCGTCCTTGTAAAGATTTGTTTTCTTTTAAAACACAGAATCTAGTAAGACTGAGTAAAAAACAGTCTGGATTTTTAAAATGTCAAGGCGAGCCTTTCATATCAAGCTGGCAAATTACCGATCGCAGCAAAAGTATTTTCATGACACCTCGCAGTAATTCAGCGCGCGCTTGTAAATTTCTGGCGGCGCTGAAGTGGTCTGATTTCAGTATCCTTCACAGCATTATCAGCAGTTCTGTGTTAATGGCCGAGTTTTTCAGACGCCGTGAATAAAATATTTTCACCTCCTGCTTTATCGGGGCCATTAAACACTCTGTAATAGTCTGCACACAATCACACACACACACCAACACACACACACCATCACACACAATCACACACACACACCATCGCACACACACACAATCACACACACACACACCATCACACACACTCTCACACACACACACCATCACACACACTCACACACACACACACACAAGACTCTCAGTCCCGAACCGAAGAGGCTTCAGGCCCCAAGACACTGCGACTGTGAAGGCGCAGTGCTTTTATCTTAATTGAAATCAGGAGGGAGAATGTATAAAACGCCCCGATGCCAAAATTCAAAATAGCTTCTGATGTGTTTAGTCAAGAGGAGGGAATCCCCAGGAGGCGAGCAGGAGGCTCATCTGACCGCTTCACTTCAGGACACTCGGCCACCACAGCAAGATGTGGGAACATCCAGCAGAGTTTCAGACTAAACGATCAATCAGATCAAATCACAGCTCGTATTCCAGCTCAGTTGATCTCCTACAGTCCTGAGATGTCAGAGTGACATCAGAGGGATTATTAGCTTAAAGAGAGAATCCTGGTTTTAATTCAGCGCTGAGACTCCTGCAATAACGGAGAAATTATCAGTTTAAGTTCATCTGATCACAAGCACAGCCTCTATTCTAGTTTCTAACGGCCCTGCAGCTGGTTCGACGCCTGCACAGGTAAAGGTGAGCAGCTGGTAACAATGCTAACAAGCTAGCAAGGGAGCTAACAGCAACACAGTTATGCAAACTCAGCATCTTAAAGATCCACTGAATGTGACATGAGTCAGCATTCAAGCTGCTTCTGACTAGTTTTATGTCTGTAGTGACAAAACAAAAGGACGTAATGCAGCTGGAACTGGTTCTGGAACCGGTTCTGGACGTCATTCTGGGACCAGTTCTAAACCTTCTGAACATTGTACGGTACAAACCGTTCCCATTGGAGGGTTTGTTGCTTCTGTTTTATCTGATGGTAAACTCAAAGTCTGCAGGATTTGGACTCCAAACCAAAGTCTGGACAGGATTAAATCAAAACTAAACTGCAGTGTACATTTGAATATGTTTAAAATCAGCACATCTGCCTTACTGTTGGTCAGATTTATGACACTGGTAACCCAGAAAATGGATGAAAAAACCTCAAACATCATGGAAAAGGCTTGTGTTTTAAGGTAAACCAGGATTTCTTACTAAAACTAACCACTTAAATTTGGTGCCTGAACCTCAAACAATTACTACCAAAGTGTTTAACGAGGCATGACAAGTTTAAATTAAATTAAAATAAACCTGATTATGATCACACATGTCCTGAGTGAACGTCTTGTGCTGACTGATGCTTCCATCCTCCCTCCGACCTCATTATTCAGACTTTGTGGATCTTTTAAATCGGACAGGTGGGAAAATTTATTTCAAAATCCAACTCAAATTTCTTGCAAAACACAAATCAGAATGCAGTTGTACAGGAATGTCAAGACTTGCTTGGACTCTAGAACAAGTTGTGGGTATTAGTTTTACATTTCTGGGGCTTAATAATCAATTGTTGTTCAATAAAGTAATTAATTCGTTGCAGGCTGAATTCACCATCAGGCCGGGATTGAAATCTAATCAGTCAAAATAAGTCAGATCTGTTTTGTGGCTGCATCTGAGCCTGCAGGACCTTTAACTCTCTGATTTATCATCCAACAGGTGGAAAAAGTCAGAATGTCATAAAGAACGCTTTAAGAACATTATAAATATGTTTTAATGCTCTGTACCTGTGGAGCTTAAGGACCACGTGATGTTGAGGTTGAAGTTGTTGGAGGCGTTGATGGACATGTCCAGGTTTTTGTTGGCCTGCGAGAAAAGAAAAAGAAAGAAAGAAAGAAAGAAAGAAAGAAAGAAAGAAAGAAAGAAAGAAAGAAAGAAAGAAAGACAGAAAGAAAGACAGGAACACGTGCAAAGTTACTGGATGTGAAGAGAAACATTTATGGACAAACAGAAGATGAAGATGCATTCAGGGACAATACGGACAGAAAACTTGTTGCATCCACGTTATTGGACACCGACGGTCAAGCTGCTTTCCTTCAGGTCTGCCGACAGAAACATTCTTTGCTAGAACATTTTCTAAGTTAAACAGATTCATCTTTCCCTCTGCTTGTGTCCCCTGAAGGCATATCTGACTCTATCGGCTGTACATTGATTTTGTCTGCAGAAGTTTCTGACTTTAACCTGAAGACACCTTTAGGCACAGAGGAGGGAGAACGCTTCTCTTACAGCCTGACATCAGTTTGCTGGTAGATTTAGAGACTAAATGTTTCTGTAAAGAACTGATTTGAGTCAAAGAAATTCCATCTGACCACATCTCTGCTCTCCTCTTCTCAACCGTCTGAAATCCAGTGAAGATAAAATCACTGAACCTTAAAGGAAAACTGCTTGTTTACAGCATAAATTAACCACTATCGTGTTTCTAGCCTCTGCTTGTTACCTGCTCAGGTGTGGCCATGAAGTTGATGGCGGTGTAGTAGCGGTCGTCCTCCTGCAGCAGACTGAAGGTAAACTGGTAATCGATCAGCAGGTTGTCTAGACAACAGAGACGCACAAAGACAAGAAGAAGAAGAAGAAATGATGAAGAGATCTGAATTCTTTCAAATGACCACATCTATCAGCTCCTCCACATGAAACCTCCATCAGGGCTCGTCTTATTGACTCCGCCATCAAACGCAGACGGATTTATGAAAGTAAAAACATGACAGACGCTGAGCGGGAGTCGATATTTAATTAGATGAATACAGCAACAGTGGAGGAGTTTTGGTCAAAAGATCTGTCAGTGACAAAACACTCACATATATTCTTATAAATACGAGTTAAAGTGCCGTCGTTCCAGTCGGGTCGATCAGCAGAACATAAGCGAGAGTCTAAATAATCTCTCAGAGGTTTAATCATCTCTACGCGGAGCTGCTATCGAGTGTCTGGAAGCAGCTCTTTGTCAGCGAGACAATGAGCAACGTATGGAGGGAATCAGTCAACATCTGGACGGGCAGCAGGAGCCTCGCTGGGTCACCTTGTCTGCCGGTGGGATGGAGGAGGAGGAGGAGGAGGAGGAGGAGGAAGCAGCTCCGTGGCCGTGAGAGGATAACAGGTTGAGAGGAGTTTCTATTTTTTTGGCGTTAATCGGCGTGACTGCTGCTGAGTGCAAACCCTTCAACATAATCCAGGTGTGTCTGCATCCAGCAGCAGCAGCAGCTCGAGTTAACACCGACTCACGCAGCTTCTTTATTTTTAGCTCGACTAGAAGTCTTCATGCGTCCGACCTTCAGTCCGAGCGAAGCGTAATTAATTAACCAACACATGCTGTCGCTCGTAAACATTTCTTGCCAGAATGTATCTCAAACGGCAAAAAAAAAACTAAATTAAATCCCATAAAACCTGCAGTAAGTAGAACGCCGCGACCAGGTCGGACGCAGGAATTAATTAAACGACTGATCTGCAGTTTGTCAAACTTGCACACAGATGAAGCTGGATGTGAGCGTCACTGATTAACGCCGAGGGTTTTATCTGTGGAGCGAGTCGGAAAACGCTTTACACAACATTTAAACCACAACTCATGATGCCAGCTCACTAAAAGCAGCGGCCAATGAGAGAGCGCCGGCAGCCTGGGGGAAATAACATATGTAAATTATGGATCTGAGCTTTAATGAGATTTCAGATCTTTTAATCCTTCTGTTCTCACCTGATACCGACTCTAATAAGTGAACTAAGAATAACCACTGATACAAATCTCCAGTCTGATATCGCTTTCTGTGTTTCCAACCAAATCCGGCTGAAGGTGGTGGAGGCACGGATCGGATGTGAAGATGGACTGAAGCATCTGTAACGTTGCCCACGGTTCTATATGAAGAGGCTGTGTGACTGAATACATACAGCTTCAGACGATTCTGTCAGAATATTTCTGCTCAAAGTTGTTGAAACTTTCGTAACACAGCGATGTAACTGTGGGTCAGAATGATGAGAAAAGCATGCTGGCTCACAAACTGCTAAACTGACCGACTGTAGTCGAGCTTCTGGGTACGTTTGGCACATCTGACGTACTTCCACTACGATGGAGAAACTTTTGCATGTGATAGTTTGGATTTTAGAGCACACCCACATTATCGGGGCTCCGACTATCGCAGTCTTGCTGGTTTGATTCCCAGCTGATCCACAAATGAGCAAAAAGGTGCAGCTGAAGCAGGCGGTGCGACATCTCTGGGCCTTTAATTACACATAAAACAATCTAAACAAGTCAGTTATTTAAAATTCACACCCTCCACAGCTCACATATTGAGGTAGAGTAGCTACAGGGACCAAAGCGTTTCCTGTACCCGGCTGTAAACGTGTTGATTTGTGCTGAAAAAGTTGGACATTTTAACACGGGGGTCAATGGGGGTCGACTCATGTTGGATCAGGCCTCCAGTGGACGTTTGAGGAACTGCAGCTGAAGCTTCACAACCAAATATATTCATTTTAATATATCTCTATTTACATCCAATTTTGTTTCAATATTACTGTTTTTAAAGCCACTTTGTGACTTGAAATATATTTTCAACATTTGTTTATTTATAAAGTCATCTTTTGCTTTTAACTTGTGAACCGGTGTCAAATTAATTTTCGGAGCAATTAGTCTTTTATACGGTTCATCAGTTAATCAATCAGGGTTTTTTTATGAGGCATTTTTCATTCAAATGAAAGGAACACAAAGGGCTTTACAGATGGAAGGAATAAAAAGGCAATAAAACAATACAAACAAGCCCCAACATCTAAAACACACGGACTGAGGAACTAAGGAGACGCCATCCTATAATAACACAGGCAATATTCATGATGTTATAGTGAAGGTGTGGCGACAAATTAAAAATGTAAAGTAGTAAAATATCTATAGTGTGTAGAGCCATCATTCCCCCCCCAGGTATTGCAAAATGGTAGAAAAATGATGAACAAGTTGATCCAAGTTCTGTAGAAGAAAGTAGGAAATAAACCTTTTATTTATTTATTTTGCACTTTGCTATGATTTACTGTAACTGTGTCATTCTTCCCAAAAGACATGTCTGAGTTCTCTCTTCATCTCGCCACGGTTGTGCTGCTTCCATAGAGGTGCAGGACTTTATAGAATAATTAGTCCACTGTGGGTAGAACTGTGATGACAGCAGGAAAAAAAACACAGACCCAGAAAGTGTTTGGGGGTTCAGAGGATAAAGAAACTCTTAAAACTGTAACAGAACAAAGAACAAGAGTCGGTCCCGTACACAAACTTTCCCGTGTGCTCATCAACATGACTTTATTCTACACGTGTCATCCAGAAGTAAATCTGATAAAAACAAAACGGCCACGTGAAGAAAACTCAGAAACTTTTCGGCTGAACTGCAGGCTGGGTTTATGCAAAAGCAAACGATTTTAAAAATGTAAGTAGTTAAACATCTATAAAGCATCACCGGCTTCCCCTGTGCTCGTAACACAAGCAGATGTGTGCAAAAACGATGTGCAGTCGTAAAATAAAT